AGAATAGGTATAAAATAAGTTCCTTTGTGTATCTTGTTCAAACTCCCTGATGAAGTCTGTATGATCAGACGAAACCTGTCGGAGAAAATAAAGCAAGTTGACAAGATCTGTTGCTGAAGTGCTGCTCACTAGTATTTTAAAAAAAAATTGTTTAGGAATACCGTGAAAAATTGTAAACTTAGGAGCATAGCAAAAATTTTTAAAGAGCTGCCCACCAACATAACGAAAGCCCTAGACATACAGACTTTCTGCCACCGTGCAAAAGGGTTTTTACTATCTGAATACTTCTTAGTGGTTTCTCTTAGTATTTCAGTATTGTAATTACGTTTTTAACATAGTTTTAGTTTTTAACCTATAGTTATAAAGTTTTAATCTGAATACATAAATTTGTATGTTTAACCTGTTTCTTTTTTTCAGGGCCCCTACAGATACCAGCCTTTGAGCTGAACAGGCTACCCTGTTTAAATAAAGATTTACTTTAGTTTACTTTAGCTTGTTTGACCAGTTTCAACTACTGTTTGAAAAGTGAGGGGTGGCTACTCTAAACCAAGTGTTAGCAGACAATTTCAATGTATTACAAACAACTGTAAGTCTTTATTACCTGGGCAAATTTGCTTCACTTCATGCTGGGTAGTTTTTGCATTTGGCCATCTCGGCCCAAGATTCAGAAAAACATGCCAGACTGTTTCAAAAACAGTATATCCAAGTTGTTGAGGAATTATTGATGCCTCTGAATTAAGGGTTCAAGCACCATCAAGCATGATTTTAAACAGTGAGATGTATTTATCATACAAGAGCCACACAACCTACAAGGGAAATGTTGTAATTTCACAGTCCGGAGAAATTATACACTAAGTTCACTACTTGAGGGCTCTGTATCAGAAAAAGAACTGGTAAGGCAGTCTGGGCTTCTACCACTTCTCCAGCCGGGGAATCAGCTTATGACTGATAAAGGTTTTGTTATTCAGGATCTCTTAGCTCCCCTTGAACGTGAAGTTGTCATGCTTTCATTTCTTTTCGATAAAGGGCAGTTTTCCAGGGTTGTCAAAAAGCACCGGAAACCGGCAAAATCACCGGCTACTTTGAGGTTTTCGCCAGCTGCAAAGTGGCAGGGATAAGCAAGAAAAAATGGCCAATTTCAATAACGATTAAAAATAGGGGAAAAAAGAGCGCGTTAAAATTATCTATTGTTTCGCTCATGGATTGGATCTATTTTGTAATGCGCGATTTACAGAAGAACTTTCTACTCACTTTGCTCGCACGTGCTAGGATGTACAAAATGCAAATAAGGCGGCTATAAATAAATTTACATCTGCTGATCTGGTTTGTTTACATTCTCTTTTCCACTTGCTAATTAGCCAGGTCTGCAGTTATGTTCTCTTACAACAAACCTCTAGTTAGCGGTGCCAATTTGCGATCAAACTTATATATTTAGATTCCGTCTTTCATTGGACATGACGCTGTTAATGTTTGTTATCTAAGTATCAAAATTTGATAGCCCGCAAAGTTTTCGCATTTCACAGTTTTGAAAGTGATGTTGATTCATTTCGCAACACTATATTTTAAATTACTTGGCCGGTGTTCAAGGTGTAATTCAAAACTGTCGGTAATTTAAAAACTGTCATCGACAACTTGGTTTTATCTTTTGTGTGTTATCAGGTTAAATCACAAACAACATCACGTAATAATTTCACGGGAGAAAAAATACTCGGTTTGCTTGGTGAAGATACCGTTTTCATCAGCATTGAAGTGTGCAGTTTCGAAATGTATTTTACTTTACATCCTTGCGAAAGGTCAACACTAAAATTTGTAAAGATGTTGACTTTGAAAATAAATTCCTTTTAAGACCTTTTAACGTCATTCAAACAATGCATTACATTTTTACGCTAGCCGATGTCTTGCCACTGTCGCAACAGTGTTTAAACAACCAGACGTATCAAACAAACACATTTTCGCCTGGTTCTTGAGAGAAATTTGTGTTTTGTGCAAGTTTGAAAGGAATGGCTAAACGACAGTCTTCTTTGGTGAACTTTTTTAGCAAAACAACAACAACAACAGTTTATTTCTACTACTGTAAACAACTAAAAGAATTTATAAGATTATACTTATAAATAGATAAACAAACAGTACAGTACATACAGTAGTGGGACACCCAAAATAACTAAAAAGCTAAACTAGTTGGGTGACCGTAATTATAGTAATAAAAAATGTGAGAGTCAGGAAAGAGGCACAACAAATACATTGGTACACATAAATATCATTAACTTGGTACAAGAGTAAATATACAAAACAAAACAAAATAAATAGATATAAACCATCAAAATATCAGTAAAGATTAATAGAGACTAATGACATGCGAAGTTAGTTCTTTTTTAAATTGATTAGAAGTACTTAAAAAGATCCTTGTTGATTTGAGTAAGGTTTTCTGAGATATAAATCTTGTTCTCCGAATGTAATCCAAGATCCAGGTCTTCTGTTGTCTCATCCCATACAAATTTTCTTGCTTTATAGAAGTGATCTCTCAGCTTTCTTCATACAAATTTCACAACTATATTGGGTGCTCTGAAGCGTGAAGAATTTGATGAAGCTTGAGAGCCTTCCCTAACTACATCTCTGTAGGTCTGTTTTGGTAGTCGATGACTTACAGATAAATCGCTTTCCATGATATCTACTCCTATTAATGAGCCTACTTTTATTGCAATTTCCTTCGTGTTTTGGTCTTCTGCTTCGGGTATGCCGGAAATTTCTACGCACTCCCGGCGAGAATACTGTTATAAATTGTTCAATGAAGCTTCGCAGAATTGCAGTTTTCTGACCAGTTTAGCATTTTCGGCTTCTAAACTCGCATTCCTTGCCTCAAGTGAATCAAGTCTTGCTTGTAGAGCCTTAGTGTTGTCATCAACTTTTTTGAATAGGTCGTCTAGCCTGGAGTGAATCAGCTTGAGTTTGCTATCGAGCAGCAACTCAAGGTCCTTCAGAGAAGGCTTGTCGTTTGATGGCATTTCACTTGTTACATAAATGGAAACACAGAGACACCAAAAAATAAAGAAAAACGCTGTAAAAATCTGCATTAAGCAGTGAACGGAAGACATATCACACGCAGTAAGCAAAACACGTCCGCCATCTTTGCTGACCGCTGACCGATCAAAAGAGTAAGAAGCGAAAGAAGTGAAGGTGAAGGTAAGTTCTGTGAAGCTTTTCGTTATACAAAACTGATGTAGTGCAGCTTTAGTCGATAATCTGAAATTACATTTTCCAGTTCGAGTATTAGGTGCTCTTTTCATGATTTCACACATCACAAACATTTTCATTTTAGAAGAAGCTCAAGAGTCTCAGACACTTCAACCGCAATCTCAACAACTGGCAGGTATAGAGTGTTTGTCCAAATAGGACCAACTAGTAGTAAAGGAATATTTGACACCTTTTTGATTTGTCAATTTCATGATCTTATTATTTTCAGAGCCTAGTCAGTCTCAAGTTAATGTAGCAACTCCTGCCTGTGCACAGAACAATTCTGTTCAAGCCGAGGGCAGCCCAGCAAATCAGGTCAGCATCACAAAAAGATTTCGGAAAAAAATGTTCTACTTTGTCCGCCCCGCTAAATAAATTACTTGCATTTAACTTTCAGACTCCACGATTTGGACTTCCAATCAAGTAACCTCAGCCTTCAAGGAAATGTGACCAGAAGAAAAAGTCCACAACTTCTCTACCTGCAGGCTCTCTGGATAGTCCTGTTTAAGCAGGGAAGAACAGGGATGCCTTCGGGTTGCAGAAGATGCCAAAAAAAGGAGAAAAAGAAACCTGACAAATTTAAACACAAGTGGATGTTAAACCCACGCTACTGGTCTTTGTGCTATGTGGAGAGGAATGGATTTTATTGTGTGCTTTGTAAGAAGCATAATATGAAGAGTACCCAGAACAAGTCACAGACGTTCATTGAAAGTCCCTCTAAATGACTAAAGGAAGATTTGTTGAAAACACATGGCTTCAAGTGTCCATTCCTCAGCGGTGGAGGCAGACCTGCTACAGCAGATGTTAGTTTTTCATCACAACTATATTGAAAAAAATGAAGTTCAAACCACGGTTCTTTAAAATGTGTTTGCCACTGCCTTTTTTCTCATGAAAGAATTCGTTGCTAATTGAAAACTGATCCCCCTCATTAGTTTTATGGAGAAGGTTTTAAGAATGTCCCAGCTTAAGCACTTCTCCCACCGTTCTCACGGTTCTGTTTGAGAAATCTATTTAGCTCTTGGTGAAACTGTAAAGCAAAACCTTTTGAAAAGGGCCAGGAATGCAAAAAGCTTTGGCATTCTGATAGATGAAGTTACTGATATAGTGTCATCACAGATGATCTCATTCTTGCAGTTTTGGGATGAAGAAAGCTCATCCGTTACAACAATGTTTCTTTCTTCTCAGAATGTGTGAGAGGACTTTGCTAGTTGAAACTCAGAAGCCATTACAGAGTTGGTAAAGAAGGAATTGTCAGCCTCTAGATTAGACATCAGCAAACTGATGGGCCTGTCAACAGATGGGGCAAAGGTGATGGTTGGAAAGACCAATGGGGTTGCTCAAAGCTAAGGCAAAGTAATGATAAGCTTCTTAATATGCACTGCGTCTGCCACCGCTTAGCACTGGCTTGTACAGACAGCTACCAGGAGCTGAAGTTTATCAAGGAAGTGGAAAATGTCCTTCAGCAACTATGGTACTATTTCCACAATTCTCCCAAAAAAACTGCTTGCTTTCTTAAATTTCAAATCCAGCTGAAGAAAGTCAGTCTCAGTCACACCCTTGCAAAACAAATTTCTAGCTTTCTGTCAAGGTCTGGAAGTTTCTAGAAATTTCTAGAATGTGACAGCTTTATTCCAGAATCAAATTCCAGCTTTTTTCCAGAA